TGTTACCTGGGAGAGACTCTTATGTAGAAGTTTAAACCAACAGATATGGAGCCACTAAACACTCTGTGGCTGATGGATATTGGTCTGGGACATGTTAGAACCTGTATCTAGGCTTTGTTAGTATCATGAGTAGCAGCTGTGTTGATTTGCCTAAGACCTCCACACTGTTAGATGTGCCCTTCTGATCCTATACATGATGGTGGATTTTGTATGATAAATACAGCCTGGTGCAAAGCACGGTTTACTAGATCTCTGGCAGATATCCTGGCTTTCAGGCAAATCAAAAACAAGTCCTTGCAAGCTAAATCTGATTATTTTAAAGAGCAGTCTTCTCTGGCTCTGATCCAAAGAGATTTTGGAAAACAATGAAAGACCTGGACAATAAACCATGTAGCAGTCTGCCGCTGTCACTTACTGTTGACTGTTGACAGCATTTTAGTGTCAGACAGAGGGTGTATAGTTGACCTCTTTAATAAACATCGTATAAATTTGAGTTCTGTTTTGGAAACAGCAAATACTGTAATACCACCTACAATTCCCACCACCCGCTCAGATTCATCACCTCCCGCCTCTCTCTCAGTCTACACCACACCTCCAACTATTCATAGCTTCAGCTTACAGGCGGTCTCATATTGTGAGGTTTTGGATGAATTGTATAGGTTGGACCCTAAAAAACCACCAGGATCCAATAAGTTGGACCCCTTTTTCTTTAAAATTGCAGGCCCCATCACAGATATTTTTGATCTGTCCCTACACACTGCAAAAAAGCCTTGTGCTTGGAAGTCCACTGTAGTGCGTCCTCTTTTGAAGGGCGGAGATCAAGCTGATCCTAACTGTTTTAGGCCTATTTCTATTCTGCCATGTCTGTCTAAGGCTTCGGAAAGACTTGTAAATGACCAACTTGCTGATTATTTGGAAGCCCATAACATCTTAGCGAGTGTTCAATCAGGTTTCAGAATTGACTATGGGTGTGCAACTGTAACTCTTAAAGTCCTAAATGACATCATTTCTGCCTTGTTTATATTGTATGTTTGTGTGATCTGTTGTTTACATTGTCTTGCTTGTTTAAATATAATCTTGTTTTGTTTTTTAGCCCCCTTGTCCCTTTCCTTCAAAAGGCCTTGCCTTCTGGCAGGCCACCGTTGAAAATAAGATCTGTGTTCTTTATCTGTCTTGCCTGGTTAAGTAAAGGTCAAACAATATAAAATAAAAAATAAACTGGACATGTGATAATGATACCCAGTCACCCATTCCAACTGTACAAAAATTCAGAATTAAAAAAAAAAAAACGTAAAAGATACATAAAACACAGATGTAAACAAATAAGATTCAGAGCCTTGTGACCTGTTTAACCCTATTCAGGACTTTAGGGGTCTTTTGGAACCCAGGCCATTTGGTTTAGGTGATAGGTATTGTTTTTTTTTGTTTGGTTTTTGTTTGAAGATTTTTTTTATATATATAAAAAGAGGGACATTTCTCATGTATTTGGAACCAAAAATAAGTCAACTTATCAGAAAATGTTTTTAACATAGTATAAAAGTCTATAGTGAAAACCAACAAATATTTTGCACATATTCTTTTTTGGGGTCCAATGGACACACATTTCATTTTGTAAAAACCGTGCATTGAATCGCTACCACAGTTGAATTTTAAACAGAAGACAGAACCCAACAATCCAAAGTTGCCTTTGGGTTCCCTATGAGCAAGCAGATGGCGATGGTGGGAAGGAACCAAAAACCCTTCCCTTTAACAAGGAGGGAAAAAACCCAACAGCACCAGGCTTAGGGAAGGTGGCCATCTGCCTCAACCAGTTGGGGTGAGAGTGGAGACGAGGGGGATGGGGCTCAATTAAAATGAATGAACTGAAACTGTCTGACTGATGAGCTCCACACGAGTTGTTAGTATAACTGTAAATCAGCAGAACAACTAGTGTGGAGCTCATCAGTGTTTCAGATAGTTCATTTTACACACTTACTGTTGTCACGATGTGTGGTAACTTTGAAACAACAACAACATAACAGTAACGGTAATGGAACTGGGACAGGAAATGTTTGCAACTGAGATTGCATGAGAGTCTGGATCATCTTCAAAAAAAGAGCAGAATAAATCCAGACACATTCTGTTGTGTAGTTTGTTATAAATATTTGACAAAACCAGACTTTTTCTTGTATACACTTTCAGGAGCAGCGTTTTTTTTGGGACACTGCAGTTGCTAAGAAATGCTCTACCTCTTTATGTTCAACTCTGCTTTATTGGTACTACAACAATGGTTTACGTCTGACTGAGGTACATCACCATGATAAATTATGCTGAATGCGTTAACCTGCTCCAAAGCAGATTGTGTTCCATTTAACACATCAGTGCTCATAAAAGCACCTGTATTAATTCATCAGTTCCCTTTGGAAATAACATCAGCATTTGTCAAAGATGTGGCAGAGCTCAGTGTGCAGAGAATGACAGAGAAAGCAGAGTTTTTAGAGCTGCAATGTCCAAGCCATTTCATTGTTCTTTTGGCCTTTACACAGCAAAATAGTGCTAAATAATTAAATATTGAATTTACAAATGTATTTCACCTGTTCTGTACTTGTCTTTATTCTCTAAAAAAGTTTTTTTTTAATTTATTTATTTTTTGTCAATAGATGCATAATTTTGCAGCTTAATCTTGTGCAGCGTCATGAAAATGAAAGTAAATTTGGGGATTTAAAACCTACAGCTAAACAACTTCTGTACAACTGAAATTATGGACAGATTGTGCCCAAACATAGTGATAACCCCTTTAATCCATATATAGTGTTACTGCAAACACACAGGCGCACACACAAAGAAAAGAGTCCATATATTTTACATCTATGAACTTTATTTTGCAGTGTGGTCTGGTGAAAAACAACATGATTTACATTTTAGAGGAGAAAATCAGAACACATTCTCAAGAAACATTTTCAACTGGTTTGCATTTACTTGTTGATTTCTGGTTAAATTTCATATATTATTATGTTTAAGTACCCTCTTAAAACATAGTCCCATGATTTTACATGAGATTTAGTTTCCTTTGAATTGTCCTTTCTCTCGAAAATGTTTTTACCTTTTCCAACACTGTGTTGATTTTCATCCACTGAATTATGTTTTTTAATACCTGGTGATTTTATAACTCATTTGTTGAGTTTTTATGCCTTGTGAAGCACATTGTAACCTGGAATTTGAAAAGTGCTCCATAACTAAAGATTATTATCCAGACAGGGTAGAAATAAGCTGGAGTATCAGTGCTTGTATTTGTGCTGGAGACAAGGTGGTAGGAGCAGCGGTAGTCGTAGTGGCACCAGCAACAGTAGTTGTAGCAGCAGTTGTAGTTG